AACTACACTTATGATTGTTTGTTTCAATTACAGTTAACATTTGTAACAGGGAATTAATACACAACACTTGTATAAAGATACCAATATTAATCTTTTTCTTTTAATTTAAATTCTTTATTGTTTAACTAGGGGCGCAGTGCATGAATCGTGCACCTTGAAAGGAACTATGGGCCACGAGGTTGTGATAAGCACATGGGAGAGTCTCGGCCCATCCTCTACCCCCCTGTCCGGGCCCCTCCTGTCATAGTCCCCTTGTCTGACAGTAGCCCTGCTCCTGCCGCAGCGGTTCCATGCACTGATAGCACAGCACTGCTCACACCTGCTGAAGGTGTGGAGTGATTGGAGCTGGTGCCAGCAATGGGTGCGAGCGGGGCCAGTACAGTCAGCAAGTGTGAGTAACGGCTGTTGCCCCAATCATCCCTCAGGAGCAGGGGGAGGTGGAGAAGCCTCAGGGGTGATCAGGACCAGGAGCCGCCACTCACACCTGCTGATGGCACTGAGTGGTTGGGACCAGCGCCAGGCACCAGCAGTGGGTGTGAGTGGTGGCTCAGGCACTGGCAGCAGGTGTGAGCAGGGCTGTCGCCAGCAGTGGGTGAAAGTGGCGGTTGCCAGCTCTGATCTCCCCTCAGAAGCCAGGGGAGACGAAGAAGCCCTGAGGGGCAATTGGGGCCAGCAGATGCCATTTGCACCTGCTGATGGCACCAAGAGATCAGGACCAGCATTGGGTGTGAGTGGGACCAGTGCTAGCAGCAGGTTCAAGTGCCAGGCAGGACCATGGCGCACAGGAGCAAAGAATTTTTAGTAACCACCAGAGGCTTGCTCCAATGACAGTGACTGGCACCCTGGCTTGGTCTGGCGCTCCTGTTCACCTGCTCCACCATCCCACTGCGGCTGCTACCTACATGTTTTGCATGTGCCCCCTGGTGGTCAGCACACATCATAGCAACCAGTTATTTGGTTGTTCTGCCATTTGATCTATTTATATATTAGCATTTTATTATATAGGACTACTGGCCTGGTGCACAAATTTTATGCATGGGGGTGGGGGTGAGGTTACCTCAGCCCAACCTGCACCCTCTCCAATAAGGGACATCCCTCTTGCAATCTGGGACTGCTGGTTCCTAATTGCTCATCTGCCTGCCTGCCTGATCAGCCCTAACTGCCCTCCCCTGATCTCCCCTAATGGCCTCGCCTCGACCCCCACCATCATGACTTTATCTGCAAGGAAGTTGGATGTCCAGAAGATGGCCAGTTGACCCAGTCATGTGATATTTAACTTTCTCTGACTGGCTTAACTTTCTCTAATTGGCATATTACCCTTTTAGTAGTATAGATAGATTATATAGGATAGGATTGCTTAAATGGAGGGCCAGCCTGACAGTTGAACTGGGATGAGGTAGGGGGGTGGGAATTGAGAAAAGAAAGTCAGGAAAGCAGGGTCGGGAAGACTACAGGTAGCCATTGACCGACTGTAGCAAGTTTATTAACTGTGCAATGCTTTTTATACACAAAACACTGAATAGGAAGTCTGTCAAGAGGAATGTATTGTTTATTCCTCTTAATCTCTAAGGGAGAGACAGAGCAGAAGAACAAATTCTTGGAACAACAAGTCTCAGTAAGTAGTTACAAACTTCTTGGCAAGTTCTCATTCTACTGATAGTAGCCAACCAAACAAGTCTGGGAAAACTGTGTGGTAGGGGGGCAGCCCTGCTAGCCCCCTCAAATGCAAAGACCCTGTCAGCTTACACCCGGTCTCCAACAAAATGGGATGCGGGAGCCTGTAGAGGGCCACCTGGGAAGGCACATGGGCATTTCTTTAAATTGTCAGCTGAGTCCAAGGCGACTGGCAGAGCCACATCTAGGATACAAGTTTCCCCAATAAGGCAGAGACATGTAATCAGCTTGACCTTCATATCAGCTCAAGTGTCAGCAGGGGCGGGTCTAGATAAGTAAATCCAGTCAACCTCCAGGAATGCTCTGGCCTACTTAAGAATGCAAATAAGCTCCTTTGATCCTAAGTTTTGGTGTTACTTCCTATATTGGGGGTATAAAATAAATGTGCTGCGTAGCTCAGGAAGTCAATTCCTCTCCATCAAAGAGAATGACATCCCACCTAGCTCTCAGCTTGCTTCTATTTCTGTGTCTTGGTCTCTTTCTTCCATTTATTTTTTAATCCAAGCTCTTCCACTCAGCAACCAGACTCATTCATTTTCCGTGATGGACATGGAAAAGAGAGAAACACCACTATAGGAACCTTTTTCATCATGAGGAGTTGCTCTTAGCAGACAAAAATACATAATCCCTATATCTGGACTGATAGCCAGTCATATGCACTATACTGCCAAACCAGTCATTAAAAAATTGAACTGCTTTCTTATTCTTTAAACCAGGGGTGTCGAACTCAATCAGAGAAGGGGCCAAAATCTAAAATCCAGCCTAAATCGCGGGCCGAATGGTTTACTGAACAGTCATAAACTGACAATGTTAACCAGAAATGTGAATTTAAAATGAGTGGAACAATCTTTTCCTTAACAGTGCTGTTAACCAACTCACATGCTATCAAGCAAAACAGTAATATTGGTATCAAGCAAAACAGTAATATTGGAATGTACCTAAAATGCTCATTGTTTTGTTTTCTGGCTAGATGTCTGACACCGTTTTCCCCGGATCAATGAGTCAATGTTCGGTTTTATTTCTTGGGCTGTAGCAACCCGCAAAACAGCATGGAGGTTGTCATCGGTAATGCGTGATCTGTGCTTGTTTTTGTTCAGATTCATTATTGAAAACATCTGTTCACAAAGATAGGTGCTCCCGAACATGGATAGAATACGGGCAGCATGAAGTCGGAGCTCTGGCATTGAGTCAGGGGGCAGTAGAGGGTAGAAGTCCTCAATTTCAACATTTTGAAACCTTGATTTCAGGCCACTGTCAGACTGAAGCTCGATTATCTCCATCTGAAGGTGACGGGGCACATTGTTGACATCAACTGTAAAAGGATTGGCAAAGATGTCAAAGCCTGAGTGCTGTGTTCTAAAGTCAGAGAAGCGCCGCTCAAATTCACTTAGTAAACGGCTAACTTTGGTAGCCAGCCGACTGCAAGGAAAAGTACCAGAAATAGTGGTTGAGATACTCAAACAAACGGGAAAGTGGGCAAGATTGTCCTGTTCCAGTTGGGACTTCCATAGTTGAAGTTTACGCTGGAATGCTGTGATCATGTCAGACATCTTCGTGATGACTTGTTTGCGTCCCTGCAGCTTCAGATTCAGTTGGGCGAGATGCTCGCATATGTCACACATCATAGCAAAATCACATAGCCAGGCGGGATCCGACAGTTCAGGCAAGGGCTTTCCTTTACTTTCCATGAAAAGAGCAATTTGTTCTCTGAGCTCAAAAAATCTTTTGAGGACTGCGCTCTTGCTCAGCCATCTTACTTCTGTGTGGTATGGCACGTCTCCATGCTCTGCACCCACCTCCTGTAAAAACTGCTGGAACTGGCGATGATTCAGGCCACGTGCCCGTATAAAGTTAATAGTTTTAATGACTGTGGTCATTATGTCATTCATGTCCAGAACTTTTCCACACGTAGCCTCTTGGTGGATAATGCAATGATAAGTAATCAAGGGTGTGTGGCAGTGACTTTTTTGCATTCTTTCCTTCATTAGTCCAACCAAGCCTTTCTTTTCTCCGCACATTGAAGGTGCGCCATCGGTAGTTAGCCCCACCAACTTTTCCCAGGGTAATTTAAAATTATTTATAGATTTCTCCACAGCCTCAAGTATATCTCTACCAGTCGTCGTCCCATGCATGGCAGCTACATCCAAAAGTTCCTCAGTGACAGAGAGGTCGGTCTTCGTAGCACGTATAAAGATGGACAGCTGCGCTGTATCAGTGTTGTCTGTGCTTTCATCGATAGCAAGTGAAAAAGCGAGATAACTGCATGCCTGTTCGGCCAGCTGTGATGATAGATTTCCTGAGAGTTCTTGAACTCTATCTGCAATGGTGTTTCTTGACAAACTGACATTTTGAAAACTCTGTATCTGGTCTGGGCATACTTGCTCACACACTTTTAGCATGCATTGCTTCAAAAAGGCACCCTCTGAAAAACACCTTGAAGTACGGGCAATTTCTTCAGCCACTATAAAGCTTGCTTTCACTGCAGCATCATTTTTCGCTGTAGCCTTTGTAAACATTTGCTGCTGTGATTGTAGTTTGCCTTTTAGTTCTTTAACAATTTTATGCTTTTCTTCCAAAGTATATTTGCCATACTTAACATTATGTTTGGTGTCAAAATGACGACGTATATTGTACTCTTTCATCACCGACACTGTCTCATAACACAATATACACACTGGTTTGCCCTCTCTAAGCACAAACATGTATTCATTTTCCCATTTGTCATTAAATTGTCTGCCTTCACCGTCAACTTTTCTTTTCCTGGACATTTTGGGATCAATATTGGCAGTAAAAGATGTAGTTTATTGGAAATCTGCGTTAGAAGGAAAAAGTTGAAAACTGCACAGGGATAGCTTGATTTGGCAGATGGAGTGGAGAAAAAAAAAAGTCAGTCAATAAATGCCTGGCTGGGTACAGATAGCAGATTCTGTTGCGATTTTTATGCCTGCACTTTATGCCAGGAACTGGCAGCTTCTGCTGTGTATTTTTTATGCCCGCACACTCACTCTCTCCTCTGCTCTGCCACCCGCACAACCACATCGGATGCTGGACTATAGGTCACGCCTCCTGAATCTCGCGTGACTTGTTATCTATGCGCATGCGTAATAGATAGCAAGTACTGCGGCCGGCGAGGCGGCCGGCGAGATCACAAGCCTCCTATGTCACCGTGCGTCATTGTGATGGAACGCAGCGGAGTGCAGTGATGACAGCGCGGTGCGGGCCACATTGCAAGGCCTGGTGGGCCGGATTTGGCCCGAGGGCCTTGTGTTTGACATGTGTGTTCTAAAGTATTTTTTCCTCTGGCTCTATTTTTTTTTTTTTTCACCAATGTTCTGTCCCGCCATTTCATATAGGAGGAGGGCACAAATAGATCCTCTCTCTTCAGATCATGGCAATTTTAATCTATCCCATAAGCATAGCCACCAAAATCTACTAGGAGAAAATGTGGTAGTCAAACGGGAAGACTGGCTCTATTTTGGTTCATCAGTTTATGTTTTCATCATATTCCACAAATGAGTGAGATCATGTGGTATTTATCTTTCTCTGACTGGCTTATTTCACTTAGCATATTGCTCTCCAGGTCCATGCATACTGCTGCAAATGGTAGGAGTTCATTCTTTTTACAGCAGCACAGTATTCCATTGTGTAGATGTACCACAACTTTTTAATCCACTCATCTGCTGATGGGCACCTCGGCTGTTTCCAAATCTTAGCTATTGTAAATTGTGCTGCTATGAACAATGGGGTGCATATATCATTTCTGACTGGCGTTTCTGGTTTCTTGGGATATATTCCTAGAAGTGGGATTACTAGGTCAAATTTTTTATTTTTATTTTATTTTTTAAAATATATATTTTATTGATTTTGTACAGAGAGGAAGGGAGAGAGATAGAAAGCTAGAAACATCGATGAGAGAGAGTCATCGATCAGCTGCCTCTTGCACACCCCCTACTGGGGATATGCCCGCAACCAAGGTACATGCCCTTGACCGGAATCGAACCTGGGTCCCTTCAGTCCCCAAGCTGACGCTCTATCCATTGAGCCAAACCGGTCTCGGCACTAGGTCAAATTTTTAATTTCTTGAGGAAACTTCATACTGTTTTCCACAGTGGTTGCAACAATCTGCATTCCCACCAGTAGTGCAAGAGGGTTCCTTTTTCTTTGCATCCTCATCAGCACATGTCATTTGTTGATTTGTTGATGATAGCCATTCTGACAGGTGGAAGATGATTTTTTCATTTTGATTTGCATCTCTCAAATGATGAGTGACTTTGAGCATGTTTTCATATGTCTGTTGGCCTTCTGTATGTCCTCTTTCAAAAAGTGTCTATTTAGGTCCTTTGCCCATTTTTTTTAATTGGATTTTTTATTTTCCTTTTGTTAAGTTGTATGAGTTCCCTGTGAATGTTGGATATTAAACCCTTATTGGAGACAACATTGGCAAATATGTTCTCCCATGCAGTGGGCTTTCTTGTTTTATTGATTTTTTGTTTGCTTGCTTGTTTGTTTTCTGTGCAGAAGCTTTTTATTTTGGTACTGGAGGCCTGGTGCATGAAATTTGTGCATGGGGGGAGGGTCCCTCAGCCTGACCTGCACCCTCTCCAATCCTAGAGCCCTCAGGGGATGTCCTACTGATAGCTTAGGCCCGCTCCCTGTAGTTCTCTGCTCTCTACAGGGTCTGCCTGCTTCATACCATGGTGATGGGCAAGCAGGCACTGCTGGGTGCTGCCTAATGGCCATGCTTGCCTGCTCCTGGTGGCCCAGGGATCAAGCCTAAACCGGCATTCAAACATCCCTCTAGCAATCTGGGACTGCTGGCTCCTAACTGCTCACCTGCCTAGCTGTCTGATTGTCCCTAACTGCTCTCCTCTGCTGGCCAATTTGGTTCTGATTGATCAGTTTCTATGCCAGTCAGTGTCAAAAGCTCTGCCTCCTATGAAGCCACTGGGTCACTACAGCACCCAGATTTGGTTCTGATTGGTTGGTTTCTATGCCAGTCAAGATCAGAAGCTCTACCTCCTAGATAGCCATTGGTTCTTCCCAGCACATTTGTTTCTGATTAGTTGGTTCCTAAGCCAGTCAGTGTTTCTGGGCCTATCAATGGGGCCTGATCAGAAAGGCGGGGTTGATCAGCAGTCCTGGTAGAGGTCTGGAGAGAAATGGAGCCGCAGTTGTTGGCCAGACTGGGAAAGAAAGAGGCAAGCACTAATCAAAAGCTGCCTCTGAGGCAACAGATCAGTCCCTGCTTCTATCTTCAGGCCTCTCTCTGATTCACAGCCCCCTTAGCAGTCAGTACTGGGGCACCGCTCCTGCAGCGGAAGCAGTCAGCACTGGGTTGCCATGGCAAACAGCCCTGAATGCAGGACTGACTTCTGGTTAGTCTAGCCATGGTCATTACTGGTCATTATGGCCCAGGGTTTTATATATTAGGATACTAGGAATAATAATATGCCAAAACATTGGACAATCTGATGGAAATGAATTCCTAAAAGCAGGTTGTCTTCTAAGAATGACTCAAAAAAGAATAAAAAAAATATGAACAGACCAATACCTACTAACCAAATTGAATCAGTAATAAAAAATCTTACAACAAACAAAATTCCTGGATTGGATAGTTGCTCAGATGAATTGTACTAAACATTCAATGATTAGTACATTGAATGTACTATCATATCCTCCTCAAACTATTCCTAAAAATTCAAGAGGTGGAAAGGCTCTCAAGCTCATTTTATGAGACCAGCATTACCTAGATTCTAAAAACAGTCAAAGATATTACAAAAACGTTTGTACTTCTAGTACTATGTTGAGCAGGAGTGGTGAAAGTGGGCATCCTTTTCTTGTTCCTGTTCTTAGGGGAAATAGGTTTAATTTTTGCCCATTGAATATGATTTTGCCTATAGGTTTGTCATATAGGGCTTTTATTTTGTTGAGGTATGATCCCTCTATTCCCATTTTGCTCAGGGTTTTTAATCAAGAAAGGACGTTGGATTTTGTCAAATGTTTTTTTCTGCATCAATTGATATGATTATGTGATTTTTGTCTCTCAGTTTGTTTATGTGATGTATCCCATTTATTGATTTGCAGTAACATCCTTGCATCCTCTGAATAAATTCCACTTGGTCATGATGTATGATGTATTGCTGAATCGATTTGCTAGAATTTTGTTGAGGATTTTAGCATCTATGTTCTTCAAGGATATTAACCCGTCCTTCTTTTTTTGGTGGTATCTTTAGCTGTTTGGGGGATTAGAGTAATTCTGGCTTCATAGAAAGAGCTTGGAAGGGTGCCTTCCTCTTGAATTTTTTTTGAATAGTTTGATGAGGATAGGTTTTAGTTCTTCTTTGAATGCTTGATAGAACTCCCCTGTAAAGCTGTCCTGACCAGGGCTTTTGTTTGCTGGAAGATTTTTGATCGCTGTTTCAATTTCTTCGGTATTTATCGGTCTATTCAGATTTTTTTTTTATTGTTTTCAGTTGAGTTTGGGAGCTTGTATTTTTCTAAAAATATGTTCATTTCACACAGGTTGTCCATTTTGTTGAAATAGAGTTGTTCATAGTATTTTTTTCATAATCGTTTGTATTTCTGTGGGATCGGTTGTTACCTCACTTCTCATTTCATTTCTGATTTTGTTTATTTGGGTCTTCTCTCTTCATTTCTTGGTGAGCCTGGCTAGAGGTTCATCAATCTTGTTCATCCTTTCAAAGAAATAGCTCTTGGTTTTATTGATCTTTTGTACTGTTTTTGTTTGTTTGTTTGTTTGTTTTTGTTTTGTTTTGTTTTGGTCTCTATGTCATTTATCTCTGCTCTGAACTTTATTATTTCCTTCCTTTTGCTTACGACTGGAATTTTCTTGTTGCTCTCTTTCTAACTCTTTGAGTTGTAGGGTTAGATAATTTATTACCATTATTTCTTGTTTTTTGAGGTAGGTCTATAAAGCTATGAAATTCCCTCTCAAGACTACTATAGAGCTATGAAATTCCCTCTCAAAATCTATAGATTTTGGATTTTTGTGTTTTCATTGATGTTTGTTGGCATGATGACTTTTATTTTTTCTTTGATCTCATTGGTAATCTAGTCATTGTTTAATAGCCAGGTGTTTGATTTTTTTAGATTGTTTTTATTGTATTTGATTTCTAGTTTTATGCCATTGTGATCTGAGAAGTTGCTTGATATGATTTCTATCTTCTTTAATTTGAAAAGACTTTGCCTGTGTTCCATTATATGGTCTATCTTTGAAAATGACCCATGTGCACTTGAGATGAATGTATTACAGTTTGGGGGTGAAATGTTCTGAAGATGTCAATTAATTTCATCTGATCATTTAGGATTGATGTTTCTTTGCTGATTTTTCATTTAGAGGAGTTGTCCAGTGGTGTTATTGGGGTATTAAAGTCAATCTCTCCCTCGATATCCTCCAGGAGTTTTCTTTCTATGTATTTGGGTGCTCCTGTATTGGGTGCATATATGTTTACTAGAGTTATATCTTCTTGTTGGATTGCCCCCTTTAGTATTATGAAGTGGCCTTCCTTATCTCTTGTTATGTCCTTCACTTTGGGATCTAATTTGTCAGATATAAGTATTGCTACCCCAGCTTTTTTTTCATTTCCATTCGCCTGAAAAACCTTTTTCCATCCCTTCAGCATCAGTCTCTGTGAGTCCTTTTTTTCTGAGGTGGGTTTCCTGTAGACAAGTCTATTTTTTTTTCTAAATATGTTTTTATTGATTTCAGAGAGGAAGGGTGAGGGAGAGATAGAAACATCAACGATGACAGAGAATCATCAATCAGCCATCTCCTTCATACCCCCCATGAGGGATCAAGCCCACAACCTGGGCAGGTGTGCAGATGTGATAAGATTTTTTTATTTTTAATAAATTTTTATTGTTCAGATTATTACAGTTGTTCCTCTTCTTTCCCCCTCCCCGTAGCTCCCCTCCACCAGGTTCTCACAATACCTTCTGCCCATACTCCCCCACACACTGTCCTCATCCATAGGTGTATGATTTTTGTCCAGTCTCTTCCCACACTCCCCTCACCCATTTCCCTCTGAGAATGATCAGTCCACTCCCTTTCTATACCCCTGGTTCTATTATATTCACCAGTTTATTCTGTTCCTCAGATTTTTTATTCACTTGTATTTAGATTCACTTGTTGATATATATGTATTTGTTGTTCATAATTTTTATCTTTACCTTTTTCTTCTTCCTCCTCTTCTTAAAGAATACCTTTCAGCATTTCATATAATACTGGTTTGGTGGTGATGAACTCCTTTAACTTTTTCTTATCTGTGAAGCTCTTTATCTGACATTTAATTCTGAATGATAGCTTTGCTGTGTAAATTAATCTTGGTTGTAGGTTCTTGCTGTTTATCACTATAAATACTTCTTGCCACTCCCTTCTGGCCTGCAAAGTTTCTGTTGAGAAATCAGCTAACAGTAATATGAGTACTCCCTTGTAGTTAACTG